AGGAGTAGTGAACAAAGAAGTCAAAAATTATCTTCTAACATCTTAATTTTAAGAAACAAGAAACTCAAAATTAGTTCTTATTTTGCTGTTCAATGTTCTTATACACTGAAATATAAATAAGTACTTAAAAAATTTTTCGGAAAAAAAGAATCAGTAAGGTTGTCTCCTACAAAGAAATACAATTCGGAATTTTGTTTTCTATAACGTGTAAGAAATCAGTTTCACACAAAACGTGTTCATTTTTCGTTAAATATTAAAATCTTAATAAAACAAAATTTCAATATTAAAAATAAATTTTTAAAAAATTTTATTTCCTTAGAGATTTTTCGAGGCTGTACGCCGATTAAAAGCGATTTTTTTTCAATGTGTCCCGATTCAAATGAAAGTGTCTGCTAACAGTAAACTAATAATAAAAAAAAATTTATAAATTTTTTGGTGGGAAAATTTTGAACTTAAGAAGCAATAAAAAAAAAAAATTGAAACATGAAAAATAATTTCTTTAGCTTAAGGACATAAAGTGGGTGAGAAGGGTAGAAAAAAAATATTGCAGAAATGAAATTTTCAGAGTTTTCCTTTATTTTTTTTTTTTACTCCTATTCTCCGTCCATCCAGAAACTAAGATGATATAAAACTAACCAACAAATAAACAAGAAACAGAAAAATAAAACAAAAATAAGAAGAAGAAAAACGTAAATTATATTGAAAGAATCACATATTTCGTAACATATCGCTTAATAAATATTCGCAGCATGTAAAAAGTGAAAAGCGAAATATGGTGTTTTTACTTTTAAAGTTCTTATCTCATCTCATACTCGTTTATTTATGAGAAAAAGAACAAGCTACAATAAAACTTTTCCCTTCTAAACACAAAGATAAAAACAATATAAGAAAAACAAAAAAAAAAAAATCACAAAAAAATAACGAATTGCAATTAAATTTTTTTTTTATTATTTATTTTTATAAGAAAGGACATTTGGTAGCATTTCTTTTCATTTTTTATTTTTATGTTGTTATTGTTATTTAGTATGTTCTATAGTTTTACGTCAATATTTCATTAAAACATTTGCTAAGACGTCATTCGTTTTTAAGATTTTTGAATGAAAAATGTTAATACTTAAAACTTTAAAAGCCGATCAGTAAAGTATTTTATTTAATTAGCCATAAAATATATTTTATATTTAATATTAAAGTAATTTAGAACTAATATAAGTAAAAGCGGAGAAATTTGGAATTATAAAATATTTACAGGTTATTCTTTGCATAACTCCCACAGTAAAGCTACAATTGAATGTGCGGCGCGAATAACGTTATAAATTACAAAATTTCGAATGTTATGTTTTAATAGAAAAATATTTCTCTCAAACATTATAACGGTCTCCCATACTTCTAAAACATTGTTTTTGGCCTCCAAAGCTGGCAGTTTGTGGAATAACGTTCTAAAGTAAGAATGCCATGTCCGAAAATTGTGAAGATTGTTTGGTAAACCAGGACAATAGAGGCAAAAAACGAAAAATAAATGCCTAAAATTGGAAAAGCAATAAAGCAATATGGTGGAAAAAGTTATGTGACTAGAAAAGGTCATGTTGTTTCATCAAAAAGCTACTGAACAGGTTCCTGGAAAAATCTTCTAACTGTAATTTCTGTCGTATTATTAATATTTATTAAATTTAATAAAATTATTTGGCCACTTGTAAATGTCAATTTAAGTGCCGCAAACTAAATTCTCTGTTCACTAAACTCTACAATATGAATCATAATGAAAAAACTATATATTTGACTTTTTTAATTGATTTAAAAGAACCTCAGAGGAAAATATTAATGTTCTTAAAGCTATGTCTGACTATGTAACAAAAGATCATCGGAATTTTTATAATACTTAATTATTTTTAAAGCAAAAAATTAAAAAATTCATTTAATTTATTCATTTCAATTAATGTTTTAATACAATTTAAAATTTGAACTGCTTAAAACAGTTTTTTCTTCCTCCTGTAATATTTAACATTTGTTATTTAGAACATTATTCGCGCCACACTTTCAATTATCAAAAATATTTTGTTTGTTCCTAATTTAGTAAATTCATTCTTGTATAGTGAAAACACTTTTCCATAATTTAAAACTCATAAGTCAAAATTTAATTTTTTCATTTATAAAATTTATTCACACTAAAATTCAAAATTTCAAAATTGTTATTAAATATTGCAATTATAAGAGGCTCTTTCTTCAAATATTGTAAAATGTAAAATAAAAAAATGTTTAAAATTATTATATAATATTAAAATTTATTTATTATTAAAAAAATTATCCATATTGCGCACAGAATAATTTGATTTTTTAATTCGAAAACATTGTGTGAACATATGAAATTTTTAATTTTAAAGTATAATTTGTTTGTTTAACAACAAAATTTAATTAAATTGTATAGCTCATTGCATCGCTAAGGTTTATGCGCAATGTTATTACAATTTAAAGAACTATTCCTATTTCATCAATGATTTGGTTTTTTAAATAAAATTACAATACATTTGGCATCATGAAAAAAATTGTCAGCATCAACTTTTTACCGACCGCATCGTATTGTATAGGTTATGTGATGTCTTCAAATTTTGGATGTCGAGTTTTCAGTGAGAACGCACTTCTCTATAGTAGCGTAAATAAACTATTTTTAGAAAAATGTTGGTCTGTCGGCCAGTCAGCCGGTCTTTTTTTGAAAAGACCAGGGCTCGGAAACGGATCTGGGGACCAAATTTACATTTACGGAACGGATTGATAAAATTTCTTGGAACTTTATATTTGAGTTCTGATTATTACCAAAACTAATTACCGAGCTTTTCAGGGAGTTCGGGTAACATAAAATGAAAGAGCCAAATTTACAATTAAAGGAGTGTTTAAAACGCGTTTTTATAATCTTCTGAACCACTTTCGGTCGGTTATATCCCGATCACATCAGATTTTTTATTGTTATGAGCTTATCATTAAATTAAAATTCATCTTTAAATTTCTTTTCATATATAATAACAGTATGTATGTAATTACATAAAAATATTTAAAGTATGTACTTATATAATAACAATTATTGAAACTAAAAAAAAATTTTATTTCATGCTTTATATTTGTTTTTTTTTTTCTTTTCACAAAAAAAAAGGCCTCCAAACATCTCTTACACAAAGAGGGAAAAAAGCATTTCTGTGTTTAAAATTTTTTTTTTAAGTTTGAAGAAGAAAAAAAAAAGTTTGAATTTAAGATTTCTTATTCTTATTATTTTTCTTTTTTTTCTCTCTTTATTGTAGCAATAACATTAATTTTGACAATATAGTTAAGAACTGCAGAAAAGAGTTATTACTTAATTTAGAATATTGTATTTATATATTTACATTATGTAACTAAGTAAATAAAATTCGCTAATATTTTTATGACTATAAAAAATAGCAATTGGTAATGATTAATGCCTTCATAGATCATTTAAAGTGCCATAACAATAACAAAAATAAAAAACAAATCATATTTTGCATTTGCCAAAATTTTTCTTAATATTTTTTGGGGTTAAAGAAATCATAAGTATATAGCTTTTCTTGTTGTAATTGAGAACTTTTTGAAAACCTATGCGATGAGATGCTAATTTATCATATTATTGCAGTTATTTTATTTTATTTTTAATGCGTATAGAAAAATATTTTTAAAACAAGTTATAAATTCAATTCCAATGAAATTTAAAAATGGGGAAGAAAAAATTTGATAAAATCATATTTTTTAATAGAGGATTTCATATTCTTGTTTGAATTTTTTATAATTATAGGGTAAAAATAATAATAATTTAGAAAAATTTTACTTTAATTACATTTCAATAATATTTTATAGAAAAAAAGAAGTACCATCCGCAAAATTTTTTAAACAATTTTTACCCGAATCCAGATGAACCCAATTTTCATAAATTGACAAAGGTTTAATAAATAAATTGTTGTCATAAAAATTGATAAATAGCCAAAATATTAATTATTTTAATAATTACCGAAATTATAGCATATAGTCGGCCATTACCGACGGAAATGGCCGACTATATGCTATAATTTCTTTAAAATTGTACAGTTTTACAAATAATTCAGTAAGAATATAAGAAATTCTTTTCAACAAAATAAGTTATCAATAAACACTAAATTATTTTAATTTTAATTGTGAATTAATTTAAAAATATATAAATCTTAATTTTGAATACAACACGTTTATTTTATCGAAAAAGTTATAAAATTAGAGCGTCTACCAAATTAAAAGATTTGACGTCTATTTGGCTAATTTGAATTTTTGGTAGAATCTAACGTAGGTAAGGAAGAATTGATTTTACTAGAGTATCATATTGTCAAAATGAAGTCAAATTCATGTAAACTTGATAAATTTTTGAAGAATAAATTTTTAGTACGCGAAAGAAGAAAATTAAGAATTTTTACAAAAAAATGGGTTATTCATATACGAAAAAAAAATTACATTTTAAATGAAAATTTTACAATGGAACACCAGTGTTAATAAACATAATTTGTTGTCAGTCAAATTGTTAATTTCCGTTTCCCTTCAAAAAAAAAAAGAACCAGAAAATTCTTTCATAAAATTTCGTAAATTATAGGCTCTAATCTAATTTTTTAAAAAATTAACATTGCTCCCAAAACCAAGAAGGTGAAATTTTGATTTAAATATTTGCGACTTTTCATTATTTTTTCGTGATTTTGTACAAAATTTCAAATTTGACGGCAAATCCCACTGCGGATTCGATATTAAAAAAAATTAGGGTTTTTTTTACTCCGCATCCTTAATTATCTATTATTTAATTTTTTTGAAATTTTGCTCATATTAAGAATTCATTTTGATTTATTAAATGGATATGCAACTGAATTTATACTTTAAAAGCTCATATAGTAAATGTGTTTCTTTTACGATCACATTTATAATTTTACAATTACATTCTTCACATTAATTTTGATTTGATTTTTGATTTCGTTTGATTTTTTTTTCAGGGGAGACAATAATTGATTTACTTGGACTCTCGGCAAATTCTAGAGATTCTGTGATTGGTTCACATTCAGAATCAATATCTCCTTTACCTGCATACACACCTCTTACACCAAGCTCAACACAATCTTCAATGTCACCTGGAAATAGCTTAGGAAGAAATTTCGAGAGCTTTCATGTAAGTATTCATTATAATTTTTCAATTAAATTTGTAATCAAATGAAAATGATTGTAAAAATATGTTCAAAATCTTTATTTCTATTAAATTTTCAGTTCGACAATATTGGGCAGAACTCACCTTTGTCCGCATTACAAAGGAATATTAGCTTTGATTGTTCAGCACCAATGTCACCGGGTACACCAACATCTATATATAATCGATCATTTCATAGTTCTCCACAAACGCAATTTAATGAGTAATAAAATAATTTGATACTAAAAAATTTAGAAAAATGTTAATTTCTTTAATTAATATTACAGTGAATCAAGTAGCAGCTCAGGAGTTTCTGATCGTAATCATGCTGTAATTACTTCAAGCAGATCAAATTCACCAGAAAGTGATAAGAGTAACCAATCGAACCTGGAAAAGATCAGTATTATTGATATTATGAATTATATGACATTAAATCAACAACAGGAACAACCAAATAATCAAATTAAAAGACAACAGCAACAACAACAACAACAGCAATTATATTTAAATTTGTCTCAACAATTTTCAAATCAAAATTTCCCCCAACATCAATTGCAATCGTCTATAAGCAATTTACAACAACCACAGCAACAACAGCAACAACAACTTCATGCAAACCAGACGAATTTACATATCCCAAATGTTAACAATCAAAATATAATAAACAATAATAACAACAACAACACCAATAATATTACATCAACTGATTTACAGTTGGCTAAACTACAAAATTTACAAGCTTGTGTTCTGAAATTGGCACAAGCACAGGTACAAGCTCAATCACAATCATCTGTACCAGTGCCAATACTTGGAATAAGTCAATACCTTCAAAATTGTAATTCAAATCAGGTAATCCACAATGTTTGGGTTCAAAAATTTTATAATTAAAATATTCAATTTATTTTTCAGATAAAAAATTGGCAAATTCAAAGAACTCAAACTGGAAGCAATGATGCACATTTAGATCGTGTGGCTAGATTCCATCGGAGTTCCGCTGGTAATTAAATACTCAGAATTTTTTAATGTCAATATACATATTTTAATTAATTTTTTGAAGCACTTTATGATGCAACATGTACTTGGAGAGGTGTTTTACCTCTTCGAACCCATAAGATTGTTAACTATTCTCCAAAAGTTTTCCTTGGCGGTATTCCATGGGACATAAATGAACAATCTTTGATACAAATATTTAAACCATTTGGTCCAATAAGGTAAAAAAATATAGTTAATAATATATTATTTAATATGAAAGTTTGTTGTAGAGTCGAATGGCCCGGAAAAGAACAACAAGCTACACAACCTAAAGGTTATGTTTATGTTGTATTTGAATCAGAAAAACAAGTTAAAGCTTTGTTATCTGCTTGCGTTCTTCATGATGAGTCTTCTGCTACTGCTGGAAATTACTACTTTAAAATATCCTCCAAAAGAATAAAATCAAAACAAGTAAATTATCTGCATTTCAAAAAACATCGTTTAAAAAAAAAACATTATTTTTCATTATAGGTTGAAGTCATCCCTTGGATAATTGCTGATTCAAATTATGTTAAATCAGCATCGCAAAAGCTTGATCCAACAAAAACAGTATTTGTCGGAGCACTTCATGGCAAATTGACTGCTGAAGGTCTTTCAAATATCATGAACGATTTGTTTGATGGAGTTGTTTATGCTGGTAACAAATAATTTAATGATTTCAATTTAATATCCTAGTTTTTGTTTTTCATATTATTATTTAAGGCATAGATACTGATAAATATAAATATCCAATTGGATCTGGTAGGGTTACTTTCAATAATAACCGTTCTTATATGAAAGCTGTATCGGCTGCCTTTATCGAAATCAAAACTATGAAATTTACAAAAAAAGTTCAAGTAGATCCATATCTCGAAGATTCTTTATGCTCTGTGTGTGGTGTTCAACATGGACCATATTTTTGCAGAGAATTATCATGTTTTAGGTAAATATATTAATATTTATACTTTTAAATGTATATTATGTTAAAAATTTATTTAATTATTATTGAAAATTTTTTTTAGATATTTTTGTCGCTCTTGCTGGCAATGGCAACATTCATCTGTTTCTTTTAAAAATCATAAACCAATGACACGTAATTCAAAATCACAACAATTAGTTGGTGTTGGACCACAATCTACAACTGGTATTTCAACAACATCTTTATTAGGATCTAACCAACAAAATAATGATATTTCAGATTTAACATCTTCAGGTCAAACAAATCGAAATTCGCTTGCAGCTATTCAACAATTGAATAATGATATTTCCACAACATTTATACCACAAGCGTTCAATAACTGTAATAATAACGATAATAACAATAATAATATAACAAATGACTGTGGTGTATCTTTCTCACCAATTTTCAATTAAAAAAAAAATATATATATATATATAAAACAATAAAAAACAAATATAGACTTAAACTTAATAAATAAAGAATAAAAAAAAACAGCATTTTAATAAATAAAGACTATAAAATACATGTAGAAAATTATTTGAATAAATACTAAAATCATTAGTAGAAAATTTAACAAATAAAAACCCAGTGAATAAAAATACGTTATTAAAAAATATAAAGTTTTAATAAATGCAATATAACGGAAAAAAAAAGAAAAAAATCAAAATTTAAGTAAATTATAAAAAAAAAATGAAGAATATTTATTTCGTTTTTTGTTTTTTCTTTATTTTTTTTTTTTTTAATTATTTTAATAGAAAGCACCAAGTTGTCAAGCAAGAATAATACATAATAAAGATTTATTTTTTTTTTTTATTTAAATAAAAATAAATAAAATAAAAAATTTAAATATTTTAAAAAATTTTTTTAAAAAACAAATGTTATATTATCATAATCCTGACTTTTTAGCAGATGATATTATCATAATGTTTTAAATATTCAAGTCAACAAAATGAATAATAAAATATCATATAAATACCAAATAATATGTTTCAACATAAAATTGTTTGAAATTTTCTTCAAGATAAATTTCTAAAAGCAATAATATTTTATGTATGTTTATTTATAGTATTAATTTTTATAATTTATAATAGTACAATCTATGTAAAACATTTATGTACACTTTATAATACAATATATAATGAATTCATTTATATATAATAATATTAATGAATTTATTATTTATAAATCAAAGATATATATGTAAATGAAACATTATTCTTATGAAATATCATATGATAAAATATCAGGAAAACCGTATAATATTGGTATGTAAATGTAATTTGTATATATGTGTATATGCAAATAATATATATTCAATATTTTGTTCTTAGTTTTAAGTGATTCGTTACGCAATTTCAAAAAAAAAAATAATAATATTTTCTTTTAAATGCATATCAAGGCATTGCTGCTTCTTAATTTATATATTTTTAATTCATATAAATATTTACAGATATATATATATATATATATGTATATCATAACATAATTCTCATCTAAAAATAAATTTATATTAAATACAATATGCAGTTTTATATGCCTATTATATGGTTTTATGTATTCAGTATCATATCATTCGAAAAAAAATATATATATATATATAAATTATTGCAAAAATATTATCTTTTTTTTAAATAATCCAAATTACTTTTTAGTGAGTATTTAAAATAAACAAAAAAAGAATATATATATATATATATACATACACTATTGAATCAATATTTTGATTTGTTTTTTTTTTTTTTTTTGTGTTTTATGCTAAGCAATAATCGTAATATTTTCACTGTTTTTGTTATTTATATTAAAAAAAAAAAATAAATGAATAAAATGCCTAACTTTATTTGATAACAATTACAAATAAATTGTTATTAGGCTACTATAATTAAACTATTGATTAGTTTAATTAACTTTATTTTTTCTTTTTGTTGACGAAAAATTTTATGTTATATTCTTTTTTTTTCGGATTTTGTTTTTTTTTTTTTCGTTTTACATTTTTATATTTTGTAAAAAAAAAAATTTAAAAAAAAATTTCTATTATATTATTATGTATACAGATATTATATTTCTTTTTTTAATTTTTTGTAACACTTTATATAATTTTTGTTATATTAAATTTCAAAAAAAAAAAACAAAAAAAAAAGAAAATTTTATGTTATTTTTTGTTGTTATATTAAGTTTGAAATAAAAAAAAAAAGAAAACGATTTATATTTGTACACATTTAAAAGAAATTATTTTGTTTAAAAAATTTTTATTAATTTTAATTTAGTTATTCTATATTGAATAAGAAAAATATGATTTTTTAGTTATTAATTTCGAATAACACATCATTTTATATATGTTATTTCAAAAGCAAAATCTTTAATTCCAGATTTTACAAAAAAACTGAAATTATTATCGCAAATGATTTAAATTAAATGGGCATAATTGAATTAACTGCAAAAAGATTTCTTGTTTTTGACAGATTACCCATTATTAGTATTTTTTGAACTTGAAGCGAAAAGTTGAATATTTTAAAAAAATTTAGCTCCTTAAACGAATTTCATTAAATATCCTATTTAAAATCCATAAATATAATTTGTTTTTTCAATGTGCATAAAACATGCTAAAATTATTGGCTAATATCACATAGTTTTTAAGATAAATTTTTAATATTTGAATTCAAATTAATAACCATTTTTCAAAGATTCATATTTATTGTTCAAAATTGCTTTAAGAAATAAAAAAAAAATTATTTTAATCTGTCGAAAACATTAACATCTTTGATGAAAAATCATTCATTATTCAATTATTAATTTGAAGCAGCACAGAAATATAGAGTTAAAAAAAGAAATGGAAAAGAGTTTTATTGAAATAAAATTAAAACGTATAACCGTATAAAATGTAATTAAAAAAAAAAAGTACCTATTATACAAAATATAATAAATGCTAAAATAAAAATGACAATAGTGAATGCTTAATTATTATTAAAAGTATTAAGCATATTTAAAAATAATCTCGCTAAAATAAATAAACTTAAAAAAAAAAAAGAGAGACAGCCGAAAAATGTTAATATAGAATTATTATTTCACCAACATTTTGGATTTTGATTAATCAGAAAATAATTTGAAATTGGAATCATGTCATAAATATCATGACATAAAATAATAGGCTTTTTTTTTTTCTTTGAAAAAAACATTTGTTTTTGCTACAACATCAGAGATTGTTAAAACAATTTTTTCTTTTTGCACAATAAATTAAAAATTCATTTTGTTTAATATCATGTATTGTACTTAAATTAGTTAAATTAAGTGTACTATTTAACATAGACAAAACTGAATTATATTAGGGCGTAAAGAAAACTCAGCAAAAAGTTGAAAAAAATTTTTCATTTCCTTCTTTTAATTATTGAACAATTTTGAAAGATTTAATTGACAAAAAAAAAAAATAAAATTAGAACAAAAAAAAATTTTAGATTCGTATGAAGTAAAATTTTTTTAATTATATATAATTTTTTTTTTAATTTGTAACTTCATTATACCGCTATTGAAGTCGGCGATAACACGATAATAACTTTCAATTGTTTATTAAGAAGACGAAAAATTTGAATAATATAAAAAAAAAAATATAATATTTTTATAAATTACTCAAAATTTTGAATTTATTAAACAATTATTTGAATTTCTCGCAAAAAAAAAAATATTTTGCATTAGAAATATTTCGGCGAATTACACGACCTAATTAAAATCATAAGAAAGAAAATTTATATTAAAAATTATAATATTTTTTATTTGCATATCGTTAACATAAATGAAAAAAGTATGATCAAATAATATGAATTAAATAAAAAAAAAACAAAAAACTTAATTAAGATTAATAATGCAAAATTTTTTCAGAATTTTTTTATTCAGTTTGACAAAGTATTGCAATTTTGTTTTTTAATTATTCAGTGATGTTAAAAAATTAATTGTTTTTTTTTTTTTATATTCGACTGTAAACTATTTCTTAATTTTATCATATTATACCAAAAAAAAAACAAAAAACAAAAAGTTTACTGTATACGTTATTTTAATTTTTAGGAAAAAAAAAAACATTTTAACTTCAAAATTTTAAATATTTTATATTTTAAAATAAAATATTTTAGGTTCTTTTCTGAATTCATAATTGAATTATTTTCTCTTTAAGATTTAAAAACAAAAAAAAATTTTAATGAGTTTTATAGAAATCTATTTTAATTTTGAAGACAATATGAATAATAATATAATATAATATATAAAATATATATATATATAAATTTTTTATTTATTTTTTTAGCAAAATGACATTTTGTTTATTAAAAATTTTATATTTTTTTTTTATTTATATACCTATAATATTATTGATTTTAGTTTTAGAGCATGATTTTTATAATTTTATTTTACAGTATTTGAAATACAAAATTCCATTTTTTTTTGTTTTTTATTGAATTAGAAAATTATAATATGAATAAATAATATTTTTGTTTTGAAAAGAAAAAAAAAAAAACTTATTTGTTTTTTATTTTTAAGTTTTTTTTTTTATTGTTGCCCCGTGCCTTAAAATATACCATAAATTTAAAAATAAAATGGAGATATTTCTGCATATTAATGAAAATTAAAGAATTGAATATCAATTAAATTGAAATTTAAAATTATTTTCCTTTAAAAGAGATTTGATTATGAGTCTAAAAACAATTTCGAATTGAAAAATACTTTATAATACATAAACATTATTTGAACAATACATTATTTATGAACTTGTTGATAAGCAAATTTAATTCCTAACTAAAGAGATATCCTTTATTCTAAATATTTCAGTTTCGGATTACTGTTCTCAAAAATCTTAAGAGAAATTTAAGAATATATTTGAAAGACATTTAAAACCTTAATTTATTAATGTAAAATTTTTTACAAAGCTTCGTTTCTTGTTCCTGTTTCTGTTTATTTATAGTATAATACAAAATATATTAGATTTAAATAGGCTTTGTTATTTCCATTTTGCTTAATTATTATTTTCTATTGTAAACATTAAATTATTTAAAAAGTAATTATGAGCTTCCAAAAATTTTTTTTTGTTTTTGCTTTCATTTTGAATATACTTTACCAATAATTGTAATTGAAACAAAATAAAAAAAAAAACATTTTTAAAAATCCCAAAATATACCTGAAAATATTTTACGCTTTATGCTTTACATGTTTTATACACAAATTATATATGCGTAAATAACTAACATTAAATATTAATTAAATATAAAAGAAAATAAATTGAACTATGTGCGTATACGAAATTTATTTGGACAATATAAAACGTTACAATATTATTATATATATTAATACATATATAATATAAAAATAAATTAAATTTTACATAAAATAAATATTGTTCAATTAAATAATAAATGATTAGAAAAAAAAAACAAATAAAAATACAAAAAAAAAATAAAATAAAATATATTTTTTATAGTCAATATAATATGCGATTTTTAGACGTTTTTGTTTTATATGTTACTTATACTTATTGTAACAATAAAAAAAAAAAAAGGAATAATTCAAAATAAAATAATATTAAAGCCTAATAAAAATTAACTTTACGATTAAGAATATATTTGTAAGTAAAAATATTGTAATGTTTAAGATTAATGCATATATACATAAAAATAAATAAACACATATATGCGTTATATTTTTGTGTATTAAATAAAATTTAAAAAAAAAAAAAATGCAAATTTCGCTTAATATTTTACTTAACGGTATAATCAAATATAACCGTAATTAATTGTTCTATTTAGAACAGTTTCATATTATGATTATAATAATATTATAATAATGTTTAAAAATCTTAATAGTGCACTTTAAATAAGATAATTTTTTGTTTGTTTTGTATCAAATCTATTTTATATGCATTAATAAATCGTTAATTTCATCAATATAACATTAATAAGCATACAAAATTTTCA